TACCACGACAGCAGGGAATTAAGCAGTGAGCCTAAAAGGAAAATCAGAAAGCAATAAAAAAGTAAGAAGAATACTTCTCTTATACAGAGTTCGCCACCTGATTCAATTATATTCACAGCCAAAAAGCAATCTCTTGTTAACTCTAAAGCTAACTCTATTAAAGTTGTAGATCTTGCAAATATCCAACAAAATCATGCCTGATGTGAAAAATGTAGACAGAAAAAAGTTTTTCTCCTTCTCCCAGAATGGGCATTTCCACAATTCTATTCTTTTCACTGATCCCTCAAGTCTTGCAACAGTGAAGATAAGGAGCAGAAAGAATCACCGTTCTGCCCAAAATGGTTACAGGATCTGGAGAAATAAAAATTCCTGTGCAATAAATTGCTTGTAACCCCTTCCCACATTGTCATTTCATTTTTCAAAAAAAAAAAAATCAGAATGAGTCCTGTGAGGGGGAGTTTCAAATCTGTCAAGCCATCTTTCTTCTTGAAAGACCTGCTGAGCCAGCTAAAGCCTAGAAAACAGTGTGAGGCAAGAGTCCCTGCAAAAAGGGAAACAAACCACCCACAATCACTACAGAGCTGCAGCATTTCAAAGAAAATACTAGTCTTACTGTATTTTCAAATCCCTACTGATGAGCCAGAAACAAATTAGTTCTGCCTTCAAATACTGATAACTTTGTGAAGTCCAAGAGATTCAGAGGAAGGATATATTGCCCATAATTGTCACCTTCCCAAATGAATCTGCTTGGCTACTGTGTAATCTAAATAGGCTATGGCTCTTCTGTTTTTAACAGCCTATTTTAGGGCTGTGTTTACAAAGTAGGAAAACTACTGCTGATTTTTGGTGGAGGGCTCCTGGGGCTTCAACAAAGAGGGCTAGGAACTACATGCAGTCCTGTAGTTGCAGATGGTTCCCTGAAATTCCAGCAAAAAAAGCTAAAAAGAAGTACAACCAAACATGGTTAAAGCCATTGAGCATTAGGGTGATGTATGATTGTAACACTGATAAAAGGCAATTTAATTCTTCTTTGTATAGGTAATACAAACAATTTACTAGTAGACTTTTGATTTTGAGATGTCCTAACACAGATTAAATAATCTTTGGTTTTCATTAATTTGGCCAAGCCTTAAATACATGAAAGGGCTATATTTTTAAATTTCATGTATTAAATGAAATTGTTGTAACATTTCACCCCCAGAGTCTCTGAGTGGAAAGAGGCAGATTAAGTAGATGTTCCCATTTCATTTCTTGTCCTCTGACAGGACATTCCGCCAAGTTGAACTTATTGCAACAGATGATTGATATTCCAACCTTCAGTAAATATCCTCTTGGGAACAGTAAAGCACGTTGCAATGATACACTTCTTAAAGTTAAATGTTCTTATCTACATATTGGATGGGCCCCTTATCTAAACTTTCCTGTCATGTAAAGTGAAGTGTGTTCTTGACCCTCCAGCCTTCACCCTTTCCCTTTTCTAACTCAGCCATATATTTCTTAGTGACAGTAACCGTTAGTGTTTGGATGCATTACCAATTCACTCAGAAATCAGAGCCCAGTTGGCCCAACCCTTTCATGGCCAGTTACCTTTTTTATATGCAAATAATACATTCAGCAGGCTTGTTGGGATGCTCAGCCAAGGCTGGATATTCTTTTATGCAATTAGAATTTAGAATGTTAAGGTAGCTTGTAGACACAGGATAGGGAAAGTGGTAGGAAGTCTTTCTATTGTAATGGCAAACAATGCATGCTTATAATAAAACAACTGGACTTAGGTATGTGCATCCCGCTTGAGATCTCTACAGTTGATATGGTCACCCATCTTAGTTATCCAATTTAAAGATGCTGACATATCTTCTGCGTCTAATTAAACTGTTGTGTGGCATTTCAAATAGAAGCAAATATAAAATTGTCTGTATGAATAAGATTTTGTTGTCGAATCAAACAGGGAGTATTACAGCCTGCTAAGACTGCAGTGACTTGATCATTTTTTTAATTTATATATATATATATAAAATTTATATCACCATCCAACTCCCCCACAAGGAGAGACTCTGGGCGATTCGCAACCAAACAATTTAAAATCAATAAAAACATAAATAATACAGTACAAAATACAATT